ACACAAACCAAAAAAGGAAATCGAATTTTGTAAATAAACTAAGTGCGTAAAGATAGAAGTTTGGGGTTAGGGCATTAACATTAGAGGCTATAACAATATATTGTGCTCATTATATGTAAATTTCGTTTCCGAAATTTTTAATTAGTGCACCAAGGTCGATTTAAACACTAGTTTTTGATTATTTTCGCTTTTTTCTTCTTTTGCACGTGTTCGGAATTCATGTCGGGCTGATCCGGAACAGTCAAATTTTGCGCACTCCGGTTGGCCATTTCCTTTTTAGGGGTTTGTATATATCATTATGCAACCAAAATTACCATTCCTTTTTAGTTAGGTTCATACGCGAGATTACAGCATGTACGTATAAAAATGATGCCATCAAATATAAAATTTTTACAGTATACAAAAATTACAACTTTTTCGCACGCTATTACAAATTATTAGATTTGGCCGATTAGATCTCATAATTATCGTGTATAAAATTTCTTATAATAAAATTATCGCCCGTCACGAGTGTCCTATACATTATCGATTATTTCGTTCATGTGAAAACAAAGCGTGCATTCTCAAATCATGTAAATTACATATTGTTCTTTGTCATGCGCCTATAAGAAATGCATATACTTATACGGATTTCATATTTTATGCACGTATATGCAAGATTGACCAATTAAATCGGATAAAAGTTACATTTGCATGAACGGCCATCATTTTATTATAATAGGATTTAGTGTTGTATTGTAGTGGATATCGGTATTATCCAGGACCAGAGAATTATTTCCACTTTCTCAATTGGTGGTGACTGTGAGATTGAACTTCCCTAACAAATAAACAAACCCAAATCAAATCATAAATACCTATGAAAATGAATTTTTAACCATTGCCAGATATTAGGGTAAGATCTAATATCAGCAGTGTACAATAGTGATTACGATATAGGATTATAAGAGAAGATGTGTAGTGATGCACTTGAGTTCTATGATTTTTCTGATCATCATGAGAAGCACCTCAAAGAAACAGCAGCCGGATGTGTGTAGTGAGAAAACCAACCTTGCAGAAGCAGCGAGTGCACTGTGAATTCTAATGATCTGAACCAATGGGTAGGATCACAGAATGGTTGGGCAACACGATATCATTTCGGATCTTGAATTTCTTTGAGTTACGTGTGTATAGATGGTCAGATAAATCGTAGGATGATTGGGTAACACGAAACATTGGATCTTATAATTTGGAGAGGGAACAGTTGCTGGGAGGCGACAGTCGACCCGTGAGGGCATGTCAACCGTACCAGCTCCTAAACTTCTCAACTATAGAAGTAAATCGCTAGTGATTAAGAGAATATGTAGGACAGATAGCTGGGGTAACTCAGGGAACGTTATACTACATACACCTCTTATGAGCGAGACTATCAAATTGCCGGAAACTCCTAAAGCCCAAGGTACCGCGGAGAGCGTGAAAACGGTCTTGCAGCAGCACGTCGAAAGGCGTGTGGATGGTAAAAACCCAAGGGATTTAAGCAATATAGGCTGGGAAGATTTTATCACGTACCCCTATTGCGTTATGGGGTGTAGAAATACACCCTCCTTTAAAAGAAGGAATGGGCAATCGGCAGCCAAGTCGCTCGGACAGAGTTAATAAAAGGAACCGATTTAACAATGTCCAACGATGCAGTTCACAGACTAGATGGTAGTCGGCAAGAGATTGGGGCGAAATGAGGAATTTTTTCTAAGCGTTTTTGTCTATTAAAAAAATGCGAGTCCCTTAACCTTAGACTCTTGCTTAAGATATAGTCGATAGACGCCCGAAAGGGTAGTTAGTTAGTTCACTAACAAAAATCCACCTTATTTTAGTCCTTCCCGTTCGTTCCTATGGATAGATGGTGTGTAGCGGCAACATATAACAACGAGATGCTAAGAGTTCGCGGCACCTTTCTGAATGGAAATGGATTTATTTGATGCGGTGACTCTGACGGACAGTAAACCCGATGACGAAACGTGGATTATAATGAAGTGGAAGTAAGGGAAGGTAAAGTGTGGATATAAGGTGCATCATGAAACAAAGCGTTTTACGCGGGTCCTGGTTAATTTAATCCCTCAGAGAACCCCACAACCCCTCAGAGAAACCCCATGTGTAACATGCCCCGGGAACCTCATTGTAGCCAGGTGGCAAGCTGGGATCACTCAGTAGCTGGTTGGCAACATTTAGGGAAAACACAGGGGTGAATGACACATGCGCTAATCTCTAGATGTTGTCGCTAATCTCTAGATATTAAATTAATCTGTTCATGATGCTGCATAATTAATTTTATGCATGACTTATTGGTAGCATGCCGGTCGGATTCGACCCAAACGACTTTCACCCTTGAGGTGGGTGATTGCGTTATATGAAGGCGCGATAGCTTTGCTATTGTTTGAACCACGGGAAAGCCATCATTCGGCACACGGCCGTACCTTAATGGACCTGCCCTTAAGAGGGATTAAACTATACCGGAAGACAGTCTAGCCAAGTAGAAATACTGAACGGGGATCTTCGGATCTGTGGCTAGATGATAGTAAGGCGGGGTCCTAGTGATGGTGAAAAGAATAAACTGCTTGGTAGGGGGCTTGTACATAAATGCAACCGTTTTTGAATTGAATCTGTTTTAAGATAACATGAAATCAACAACAATAAACCAGTTCGGATGCTTACTAATGTTTTTT